TGGAAAAACAAACAATCAAAGAGGCTGCTGAGTATCTGAACTCCTGGGGAGCCGCATCAAGTACTGTGTAACCCTTCCATTCTCTGTGTGATGATGTGGAGTGAGCCCATTTGATAAGTGAGGAAATGGCGGCTCAGAGCGGGGCAGGGTGTGCTTGCTCCGCGGTGCCTGCCCAACGAGTGGAAGGGCCAGGGCTCTAACCCAAGATGGTTAGAACTGAAGCCAGGCTCTTAGCAGCAGACATGGGCACAGCAGCTCTCGTTCCCACCCCTCCTTAAAAGCACATGGCAGACTGTGACAGGAGCTCCAGGGGACTTGATGATAGAGGACTGGAGCTGATGTGGGGGGGGGTTTGGGAGCTTGTGCCTCTGGGAGTTCTCTGGGAGTAACATTGCGGGCATAGGGGGAACAGGTGCCTGGCAGCTTTGGGGCAACCTGGAGCTCCAGGCCTTATTCAGAGGGAGTGGTTCTGGGTTTTAACCTGGAGCCAGGGAGAGCCAGTGTGGGTCTCTGCAAACATTTTTTCTCCCCAGGAGAGAGGGAGAGGAGATACAGAGGGAAATCTTCCATTTAATGGTTCACTGCCCAGATGGCATGAATGGCTGGGGCTGGGCTAGGCTGAAGTGAGAAGCTGGGACATCCAAGTACTTGGGCCATTTTCTGCTGCCTACAGACACATATGCAAGGAGCCAGCTCAGAAATGGAGCATTAGGGACCTGAACTTTTGCACATTTAGGATGCTTGCCTGGCAGGTGGTGGCTTGACCAGCCATGTCACAACATTGGTTCCTTGATTTTTCTTTTTTAAGTGAATGTGTTAGGTGTTTTTTTTAAGTTTTTTTAAGATTTATTTATTTATTTGAAAGGCAGAGTTACAGAGAGGCAGAGGCAGAGAGGTCTTCCATCCTCTTGTTCAGTCCTCAGATAGCTCCAAGAGCTGGAGCTGGGTCATTTTGAAGCCAGGAACCAGGAGCTTCCTCTGTGTCTCCCATGCAGGTGCAGGGGCACAAAGACTTGAGCCATCTTCTGCTTTCCCAGAGAGCTGGATCAGAAGTGGAGCAGCCAGGACTTCAAACCGGTGCCCATAAGGGATGGTGGCACTGCAGGTAATGGTGCCAGCCGCTGGATTTGTTTTTAAAAGCTTTGTTGCAGGAGGGGTTTGTGGCCCAGGAGGTCAAATTGCCAGCTTGGATGCCTGTATCCCCCATGAGGGTGCTGGGTTTGGCTGCCAGTATTCTGCTTCCAATCCAGCTTCCCACTGACGTGTCTCTGGGGGGGCACAGGCAGTGGCTCGAGCACTTGGGTCCCTGCCACCAATGAGAGCTCCGCCTGTCTTTCTGCTTTTCAAGTCAAATGAAAATTGATGAAAAAATTTAAAAAAACAGTTTCTTTGTCCACTGAGTAAAGATTGTCCATGGGGTCCTGGTTCCTAGCTGTGGAGATTGTGACTCCTTAAGGGACACTGTGGTTGGTACTTCTGGGAGGTGCTCCTGGCTTGGGTCAGGTGGTTGCCAGAGATGCTGCCCCACACCCTACAGTGCCCAGGGTGCCCCGGGCCAATATCGATCTGATCTCTATCCGGTGTCCACGGTGCCTAGAGGAGAGCTTCTGGGGCTGGGGTACAGGAGTGGAACCAGGAGATTGATGAGGAGCTGGAGAGACAGGGCATGATCTGGACTCTGCTGTGAGAAGTGACGTGGCTTTATGTGGATTCCCTGTCCCGTGCCTCAATTTCCCTGCTACAAAATGGGCATAGTAGTCCCCTCCTCGAGTTTTCAGGATTGCAGAAGGCGTTCCTTGTCAAGCCCTGAAACCCGAGCCTTTGCACCTGCACCCTTACAGCTGCGGCGGCCGCCATTGCTGTGTGTCACTGTGTGAGGAGAGGGTACTGGGGCGGGATCTGCCTTCCCAGCATCCCTGGAACTTCACCCAGATCATCTTACCCAGGTTCTTGGTTTGTAGGGCTTAGGATTGCATGAGTTCAGACCTGAGTGTAACCTGAGCTTGTGGGGAATTACAGGGTCAGGACTGCGTGCGTCCATGGTTTGATCGCCATGGACTTTCACCTTCGTAGGTTGACCTGCAGGAAGTGAGCAGAAGGGTGGAAAGCCCTTGCTCCCCACCTCCTCCTCCTCTGTCCCCCGAGTTCACTGGGCTTGTTCCTGTGGGGAAGCAAACGCCACACTGCAGGGCTGTATCTGCATTCCTAGGGAGATACACAGGGCATCAGCCTTGTCCTCTCCTCCCCAGTCCCATCCTGTGCAGCAGAAGCACCGAGACTCCTGCTCCGTCAGCTGTGACTCACACTAGTCTGTCCCTGCCCACTGCCCTTGTCCCTGCCTCCCGGCCTCTGACAACTGCCGTTGTGCCCTGAGCCCTCAGGATATCACCACTTTGCAGATTCCACATGTGAGTGAGGTCATGTGGTGTTTGTCTTTCTGTGCTTGGTTGATTTCACTTAACCCAGTGATTTCCAGATCCTCCCATGGTACCACAAATGACAAGATTTCAACCTTTTTTATAGCCGAGTAGTATTCCTATGTGTACATGTACCCCTTTTTTTCTTTTTCCATCCATGGTGGATGGATGTGTAGGTTGTTTGCATTCCTTAGCTACTGGGAACAGGATTGCAGTAAAATTGGGGGCACAGATCTTTCTTCCACAGACTTAACTTCCTTTCCCTTCGATGTACACCAGGTAGTGGGATTGCTGGACTGGATGGTGGCTGTAGTTTCTGTTTATTGAGCAACTTCCTTGCTGCTTTGCTAGATCTTCATTCCCACCCACAGAGTGCCAAGTGTTCCCTCCCCTCCACAGACATCCTCACTTGTTATCTTTCATCTCTTGGTATCCCATTGTGGTCTTGCTTTGTATCTCTCTGAGTTTAGTGATCAGCACTTTTGTCCAGTATTTCACAGTATCTGTAGTTCCTCCCTGTGCTGTGAAATAGAACCACTGACATGTCTTCCTTTACCAAATGTCTATTTCTATCTATGGCCATTTTTAATCTGACTTACTTATTGTTGGTTTTTTGCTTTTGCTGTTAGTTGTGTTTTATATTGACTTTACTAACTGCTATGTCAGATGTTGGCTGGCACATATTGTTTCCTTTGGTGTGCAGAAGCTCACCTAATTTGGTGAAATCCCATTTGTCCACTAGTTGGCTTGGTATGCTGTGCTCTTGGGATCTGATCTAAGAAATCCTTGCCCGTAGCACTGTCCGGAAGCAGTTCCCCTGTGTTTTCTTCTAATTGTTTCAAAGGCTCAGGTCTTAGATTTCAGTCTTTCTTCTGTTTTGATTTCTTTTTTAATACCAATATGAATCACCCACAGCATTGATGAGTATGTTGTGTGCTCGTTATGACCAGGTTTTCTTCCATGTTTTTTTCATTTAATCAATTTGTTCTTCCCAAAAGTGATAGAGTTAGGTTCTGTGGTTAAGCACTGTCTTGCAGTTGAGGATCCAGAGGCAGCGTTCCACAAATGATGAGTCCGTTTGGTTTGTAGCACTTCGTAAGTCTAGTGCTTCTAGACTGCCTAGATAACCTGATGGTGAAGTCCCCAGCACCTATTGTTGTGGGGTCTCTACCTCCCTTTAGAACCAATATTGTTTACATTACATGCTTAGGTGGTGTCGTTTTCAGGTCATGTATGTATTGACAGTTGTTATATCCTCTTTCTGACAGATTCTTTTATCATGATGTAATGTGTGTCTGAAATGGGTTTCTTCCAGGCAGTATCTTGAGTGTTGGTCTTTATCCACTCAGCCAATCGGTATCCTTTAGTGGAGAATTCAACCCATTTACATCCTAGGTTCTTATTAACAGATACCAACTTATGTCTACCTGGGTACTTTTTTCTAGGTACAAGTATTTTCAGTCATCTTGAGTATGAGCTAGGAATGGAGTAGCTGAGTCCGACAGCAACTCTTCATATCTCCATTTGGACAACTGCTTGAACACTACAGTGGCTGCACCATTTCACACTCTCACCATCAATGGTGAGGTCTGTTTGTCCATATCCTTTATAACTCTGGTTCCTCCCCATTGTTTAAACTCCTGCCACTCAAGTAGGGGAGAGTTGGTTCACACTGTGGCTTTCCTTTGCTTTTCCCTGGGTCCAGATGATGTTGAGCAACTTTTTCTGGGCTTATCTTAGAAGAGATGCACATTTGAATATTTGACTCCTGGTTGGTTGAGTTGTTCATTTTCCTATTATTCTGTTGTAAGTGTACCTTATATTTTGTGGACAGATGCATGATTTTAAAATATTTTGTCTGAATCTGTGTGATGTTTTTTCACATTGAAAATGTGTTTTGGCCAATGCTGCAGCTTAATAGGCTAATCCTCCATCTGCTGCGTCGGCACCCCCGGGTTCTAGTCCCGGTCGGGGTGCCGGATTCTGTCCCAGTTGCCCCTCTTCCAGTCCAGTTCTCTGCTGTGGCCCGGGAGTGCAGTGGAGGATGGCCAAAGTGCTTGGGCCCTGCACCCCATGGGAGACCAGGAGAAGGACCTGGCTCCTGGCTTTGGATCAGCACGTTACGCCGGCTGCAGCGCTGGCAGCAGCGGCCATTGGAGAGTGAACAAATGGTAAAGGAAGACCTTTCTCTCTGTCTCTCTCTCTCTCACTGTCCAGTCTGCATGTCAGAAAAAAAAGAAAATGTGTTTTTTGAATCACAAATGTTTGAAATTTGGAGAAATTACCTTATATCTTTTTATTATCTATCATAGTTGTGATGCACTCATAATCTGCGAGTCACTCCAAGTTAGAAACATTTTGTAAATTGTCTTCCACGTGATTTATATTTTGACTCAACATTTATGTTTTGATGCTTTATTTTAGGTTTCAGTTTAGAATTCATGAGGTGCAATACTAAATGAGAGGCGTGGAGGCTTATTTTCTGCCATGGCCATTGGATGTTTAGAGCATCATTTGCTGTGTTTGTCGTCTGCCCAGGATGTTCCCACCACCAGGGAAATACAGAAGACTTTCCAGGTCCGGATGTCTGTCTGCCTGTCCTGCTATGTGAACTTGAGGCTAGCACACTGGGGAGGGCGCAATCCTGGGTGGCAGAGCGCTTTCTGGTGCACACATGTCTGTTGGGCCTACTTAAGTTTACCTGTAGGCAGGGCAGCTGGTCCCCAGAGGCATCTGGGTGCAGCCTCATTTTCAAGGGAGTCCCAGGGTTTCTGGCTTCTCCTTGTGTTAAACCTGGCTCTGCTGTTGAGTAGACTGCAGAGAGCAGGGCCTCTAGCCTCAGTGGGGATCTCATACTCCCATGTCACTGAGTGGTCAGGACACAGTGAGAGACCCACGCAAAGACAGAGGCCTGCAGGGGCTCACCCCTCAGCTGTTCATACTCACCTCTCCCCACAACAGCCCAGGGCTTGCATCTCTTTCCTCTGCCCTCTCTGTCCCCTGTGCTGGGGCAGCCTGCCTCTCTAGGACCCTACAGTTCATCAGGGCATCAGGCTGCACCACTAGACATGGTGAGAATACCCTCAGCTCAGCTTCCTGGGGGTGGGCTCTAGCCATTAGACCCCAGGACCTGGAACTAGACATGACCATGAGCTCATGACCTTGAGATGGGGACATCGGCTGTCCTGAGTGGTGGACACTCCACTCTGTGCCCTCCCAGTGCTGGGGAGCACAGAATCCCTGGGGCCCTCCCTGCCAAGGCAGCCAAACTGAGCTGCCTGGCATTCTGCAGGACAGGTGCACCCAGTGCCACCCATTCCCTCCAGTTGGCCTGACCTGGGCCCCAGGCTGGCAGGTGTGCAGGGTGCACAGGCAGCAGGTGATCTGGGACAATATCCAGAGGGACAGTCATGGGGCCAGTGCTGTCAGTGGGTGTGATCCAGGCCATTCCCAGGAACACACACAGGTCAGCATTCCAGTGCCCCAGCTTCCTCCTCCACAGGCATCCCTCAGCCCCAGTGGATCAGCTGAGAAGCCCGTTGTCGCTCCCCGTCTTTGTGGAGGAACGACACAGGACCCTGCGCTGTTCTTTCGTCTGCTCGGCCCTCCCCGGGTTTGCTGCTGGTTCTTCCCGGGTTGGCTACCGACCCTTCCACCTCCGTGGAAGGGCGGTTCCCCCTGCCACATTCCCCACTTACGCGGGGGAGTGGCACACCGCCGGCCAGCTCTCTCGGGGGCTGCACAGGTGTTCCTTCAGATAGATGTTCCCCTTAGATGTTCCTGGTGCATGTTGTCTCTCTCCTCCTTTATAGTCCTCTTCCACCAATCCCAACTCTGCTACCCACACGCTGAGTACGCTGCTCTCCTCCAATCAGGAGTAGGTCCTACAGTTTATTGGTCGAACTGGAGGCAGCTGTGTAGAAGCTGTTTCTCCCTTCTCAGCGCAATATTGTGGGAGAGCAGATGCATAGAATACGTCTTAATTCCAGTAACTTATTCTAGTCCAAGTTGCTCCCCACACCCGTTAAGTAAATCCCTGTGACTATGATCTCTTGGAGATAGTCCTACCCTTCCCACTCCTTCCTGGCCTGCTGTGCTGCCCTCTTGTTTGCCCACAGGGTCCTCGGGCCCCGACAGTCTGGGCTTACAGTGGGGAGGGGAGTCCTCATGTGGGATCAGCACAGCCGTGACCTGGGTGGGGCCCCCCCAAGGGGTTCCTCATCTGCAAATGGGGAGTGATAGCAGTGCCTCCCCATGGCTGAGACATGGTCACCCGTGTGCCTGGCCAGGGGCTGGGAAATCCCAGGAGCTCGGGGAAAGAGCAGTCACTGTGCTTGGGGATATCCTCTGTGTCTCCATGTTCCCAGCCAAGACCCACCCATGTCACCTGCACACCAGGCAGTCTGGGGCACATGGGGTCCCAGACAAGGCCCCCCTGTCTCCTGAGCAGTGAGCAAAACCCTGCTCGGATCCTTCTGCCAGTGACCCATTGTTGAGTGCAGGGACAGAGACTGTGACAGCTTCTGTGTGTATGTGTGGCCCCAGGACCCAAACTGTGCCTTCAGTGTAAGAACCCTTTCCCTTTCTTGTGTACTCCTCATACTGGAAGCAGGGGGCCCAATGTGTGCAGGGAGGTGTAGAGCATCGCATTCCCTGTGCCGGTGATAGCTGTGGGCAGGGCTGCCTTCCCATCTCACAGATGAGGACACTGAGGCTGCAGGGAGAACACCCACTGCAGGTCAGATCTGTGACCTCAGAGTCCGCGTCCCTGACCATGAGGAGGCGCCGCCACAGCCCTGCAAGCATCTCCCTGTTCTTTGCTTTCCTTGGCCATCCCAGCACTTGGTGCTCTTTGTCCAAATGGGGAACCCTGGCTCTGCCCCTGGGGAAGTGCCAGTGTCCTCTGCAGGGGATCCAGGTCCCTGGCATTGGGGCCATGGTGCAGGGAGAGTGGGGTGGGGAGGGCACAGTATGGGGAGTTTGCATGGTGTGAATTGCACACTTCGCAGTGGGTAATCAATTAAATTTTATTTTGGTAAAGCAACAATAAGGTGGAGACAAGGAACACAATGGGGAGGATTAAAGAGAAATACAGGAACACCGGGGTGGGGAAGGGCAGGTGTGGCACTGGGGCTGAAGCAAAAGGGACTTGCAGAGCTGGGGCTGAGGCCTGGGCCAGTGCTGTCTCTGGTGCTCCTGCAGCTTTCTTGGCTGCAGCTGGGGACACAGCTGTCCCCCACTCATCTTTGGAGGGCCATGACTGCTCCAGTGGGGGTGTTGCTTGAAGGTCATGGCTCTGCTTCGCCCCAGCTGTCAGGTCAGGTTCCAAGCCCAGCCCTGAGCTTGCTTCCCATCTGGAACTGGTGAAGCCGTCGTGCCCCAGTGCCTCCACTGTGAAATGGGCATTTGCGGACCCCCTGGGCTCTATCTGGGCCTTTACCAAGATTAAGTGACTGAGGGGGGCCTCAGGTGGCTTGTGTGCCCGGTGGAACGCCCGATACATGAGCGTTGGAGTTGTGGGTGAGTTTGACCACTCCCCCACTACACACAGCTCATCAGTTTTAGTTGGCCTACGGTTGTCTGGGCTGCTTGCGATCCCCAGCCCGCTGTGTTGTGCCAGGCGCGAGGGTGCCCTGTCCTGGACCTGGGAGACAAGAGCAGAGAATGGCAGGTAAGAGGCAGTCCCTGGATCCCTCCGCAGCCAGCAGCTCTGGGCTGCCCTGCCTCTGAACTCCAGCCTCCCTCCTCCAAGAGTGAAGTAGACCATGTCCCCCCCACAGAGGCCTATGGGCTCCCATGGGGTCTCAGTGGTGTCCTGGTCAGCAGAGAGCTGCCCTGGCTGCCAGACTCACCTTGGCCTTTTTCTGCTTGAAGCTCCAGGAGCATCGGGGGTGAGGGCTGGCCCAGCGTCCCCACCACTGGGCGAGGCGCCCACAGCAGGGTTTCTTGGGGCCTGGGCTTGGGCATCGCGGGATACAACTCAGGAACATCTTCCTGCGAGACTCTATCCAGGTGAGCTGGCTTAGACTCAACTCTGGAATGTTGGGGTGGTTGCTGGGGCACCCAGTTCTCTAGGTCATCACCAACGTAGTGAGGTCACTTCCTGTGGCTCCTCAACTGAGCCCCCTCCTCACACAAGATATCCTCAGATTCTACTTGGACTCTTCCTATTCTACTTCTACCCCTATGCCATGTGCCCGCTGTCCACAGTTGCAACAACCCAGGCAGCACCTGCCATAGGGCTGGCTTGGGCCCAGACAGTGCCACAGCTGGGCTCGGACCTGCTCTCACATCCTTGTACAAGTGTGAGCCTGCACAGTTCATCGTCCCTCTCTGGACATTCTCAGTCTCTCTTGTGGTTTCTGGGGATCATTCTAGCATGTGCTTGCAAGGGATGCCATCAGTTGTGTAGTGCCAAGGAACCCCTAGGCCTGGCATCACCTGTACTGATGCACAAACACTCTAGATGTGAGATGGTTCCTAACCTGGGGTAGGGGTTTCTGGGAACTGGGAGTTAAGCAGTTGGCAGTATCAGATTGAAGAGTGCCAGGCAGCTTGTGGGTAACACTTGCTGCATCCTGGGTCAAGTTGTCCATCACCAAGATCTGAGCAATGGTGGCAGCAGCACATCTAGGAGCACTTAGTCTTGGGGACACTTACTCCACCTTATGGCACTCAGGTGTGGCTTGGGACCTGGCCATGCTGAGCTGCTGATGCAGAGAGCTGAGAGGTACACGGTCACCTGCACTCCTGTTTGTCCAGCATCTCACAGGATTCAGGGCTGAGTCATTTAGGCAGTTTGATAAGTGTCTTAATTAACGTAGACAGGATTGCCAGGACCGGAAGTTCAGCATCAGTTCAGAATTGTGGAGGAGAAAGGCACAGCCTTTACCAGGACGCCAGAATGCTGGGGTGAGGCTCTCCCCTGGGAGACAGAGGAGTGCAAAGGGAGAGGTCTGAGAAACCCCGAGCCTGGTCTCTGGGTTGCTGGGTCTGACCTTCCCTGCTTCACAGCATGGGGCCACTTTATTCAGGGTTAGAGACCTCTGCCTTCTATAGGTAGAAATGGAGAGGGAATTTCATGCTTCTCAATGGATGACTGTGATGTTGGCTTTGCCTTCCCAGCACTTGAGGTACATCTGGGATTTTATTCTTTTTGCTCCCCCATCCCTAGTGACTTTCATGTTTCACCAATTTTGTGCACCTGTCCATAGGGGGAGGGGGTGGCAGACTCTTTTCCAAGCTGGAATCTGGACTTAAACCATCCCCCAACTGACTCTTGTAACTCGACATTCCCAAAGAGGATAGGATAGAAAGCAGGCTTCCTGGGACCCTAATGCCCAGAGAAGTCGGGTGGGTCTAACAGGTGCTGCCTATCTCAGAGTGTCCAGAAAACCTAAACACCATCAGTGCTAAGGCTATTCCTCTTTATTGGTGGACACTGGCTACTGTGTTTCTTGAGCCATAATATGGAGAACATCAGCATGGGAACTGAAAGATGTGGAGGCAGGCTGCTGGCTTGCTGCCGGATCTCCTGTCTATTCCAGGGACCCCAATAGGATGAGGGACACTGACATGGGGGTGAGCCTGAAACCACAAAGCGCCCATCCATGTCAGTGGTTAAGTTAGAGCCTCGCCCATGTGCCTACAGCAAGCAGGAAGGACACTGGTGAGGAGTGGCCCAGGTGTCCCCAGATGGGAAGGGCTCAGCTCCCCTCAACAGAAGAAGTCCAATGGGTTACTGGCTCTGCAGATGGCCTCTGGATAAAATCCAAATCCCATGTGAAGCCCTTGGTTACCCTAGAGATAGGAGAAGCTGGAGAGATAGAGGATGGACACTGGAGTCACAAAATGAGCTGTTAAAGGAGTTTCCGTGAGAGCAGACAGAGAGAGGAGTGGAACCTCTGCCCTGTGGCCTGGTTTAAAAGTTCTGACTCCCACATTTCCTGAGCTCTGCATCCCACCTGGGAAGAGACTGGCTATGAAATCAGACGTTTCTGTGTCTAAGTCAGGATGGAGCAGCAGTGCATGTCTAAGGCATTGAAAGCTTCTCAGGGTGGGATTTGAAGCAGGAGGTTGGACACTGTGGGGTTACACACATCCCACATGGTGATGCTAAGGTTCCAGGCCTACCTCCACTCTGAGTCTAGCTTCTTGTGTATGTAGTCCTGGGGAGGCAGCACATGCTGTCTCAACTGGTTGGGTCCCTGCCACCCATGTGTCAGACCTCAATTGAGTGCCCAGCCCCAGTAGTGGCATTTCAGGGGTGAATCAGCACATGTGTGATATCTGTGTCTATTTCCCAGAAATAATATTGTATAAAAGTCTGTAGAGGGAAATTGGAGATGTGGGCTGCATATCATTGACAAAGTGGTAATGGATAGGTTTTGGTTTCCAAGATGGCTGGAGTCCCTAGGTTGTAGGCATAAGATACAAATGACTTGGTGCCTGGAGACCCCAATTGTCTGGAAACCATCCAGTGAGACCCTACATATGAATCAGTTAGCCTTTGCCAAGAAATTCATGAGAAGTGCTTAAAGGTCTGTTCCAAGTGCCTTAGCCTGTGTTAGAGCAGCCACAAAAAGGAATTAGGATTCAGCCCCTTTGAATTATCTATGGAAGGCTCTTTCCCAATTGGGCTGGCCCCTTGACCTGCCAAAGGTTGGAAATGAGAACAAGACAATACAATGAGGGCAGGTAGTGGCTGCTCTCATCTGATGTGCACCTCAGACCTAGTCTCACCTACACAGGTAGGCAGCCCACCCCCTTGATTGTAAACTGAGCTCTCTTCAGGAGCAGTTTAAACCCTTCTGGGCAGGACCACACTTGGCGCTGTTTACCACTGATTGTTCTCCTAAGCTTCTCCATGGGACTCCTTGCAGTCACCACAGCTGAGAGCAGGGAAGTTCCTTGTCTCTCCTGAACCCCGGATGGCTCCTTGGAGAGCCCCTGTCAGACCTCAGACTGCTGCTCTACAGGGCGACACATTGAATGTCAGGTGAGGATGCCTCTAGATGCCTGCCCTGTTGCCCACAGCCTGTAGGGGCTACAACCAGTGTCTGAAGTCCTTTGTTGATGTTGAGTAGGAGAGTGTCTCTCCACCAGCCTGGGCCATGTCCAGGATCAACAAGAAGTAGTTACAAAAGCATGACTTCGTGCTTTACCCCCCAGAGTGGGAGTGAAATGTCTCAGGGGGCACCTTGTAGCCTAATGTGTAGGATTTGGGCGAAGTGGGGAGGGGAGATGTGGAAAAGGGGCAGGGATTGTAAACTGCCTAGAGCTTGTTTTCCTGATGTGCCCGGGGAGCAGAATTTTTTACACTGAACTCAGAGTGGCTGGACTGCCACAAACCACCACCGAAGCAGCAAGAAGCCAGTTTGAGTCAGATCATGCAGACCTGAGCTAGGCTTTCCTCACAGCGCGGTGCAGTTCTCCGCCAGGGGAGTAGACGGCCGCCATTTGCTGAACTGAGGAAGTATGAAGATTGGCCGGGCGGAAGCAGGAGGGGCCCTCTGGTCTGTGGCTGGCCTTGGCCATGCCCTTCCCCCTGCTGCAGAAGCCCAGGCAGATGATGGGGGTAGTTTCTTTGGGGGAACCCTTCTTCCCATGGCCTACTTTTCACTAGGTTATGTGGGGACGCCTGAAGCCAGTGGACCCTGACTGTGGACACCCGGATGTGCGGCCTCCCAGCGTCCCTGGCGAGTCCCGAATGGGCCACAGCAGCGGGTAACGGAAAGAGGAGGCCGCCATGACGATGGCGTCCTTTCCTCCCTCCAGGACGCCATTTTGGAAACATTTTCTTTATCAGGCGTCCTTGGAGGTATCCGAAGCTTTCCCCCTAAATACTTTATTAGAAGTTTCTAACAGAGTAGTCGGCATTTACAGCCCACACGCAGGCCCCCAAGCTGGGGCACTCCCCGCACCCCTCCCCGAATGGCGCTCGCAGATGAGGGGCTGGGATGCCAGCTCCAGGTGGCTTCCTGGGCCGAGTCCCGCGGCTGCTGCTTGCATTGCTTTACCCTCAGCACCGCGGTCGATGGGGGACTTTACACCCCAACCCGGCTTTGGGGACTGAGGTCAGGGTTCTGGATTCCTGAAACCTCTGCTGCCTTGCGGGGTCCCTGTAAATGTCAGTTGCCAGTGGCCTGCACTGATGCTGAAGCAGACGCCCCCTGGCGGTCGAAAGCTGGTGGCGGACTCTGGGCTCAGGACCTTTATGTTGTGTGCCCAGGGAGCATGGAGTTGCTCTCTCCTGTGCTCCTGGGCGCTGGAAGCCTCTTTTGGCATCCCAGACGCCGAAACTGCCATAGCGCCTTTGTGTCTGCAGTGCCCACGCCTGGCACCTGTCCCCGGCCTGTGCCGCCCCCGGACCACCGGTAAGTGCTGGCCGACCTGCTGGGCTCTTCCTGCACAGTTGCGGTGGGGCAGAGCAGGCAGCCACTTCCCTTCAGGGATTGCAGGACCTTCCTCTCTGCAGGCAGGTGTAGACCTCTGCTCACTGGGAGAGAGGTGGGGTTTTCAGGTGCTGACTGGAGGCCTGTCTCTCCGTGGCCAGGTGTGCAGGGAGGATTAAATGCCAGGCTGGCTGTCTGAGGAGGGGGCTGGGTCTAGAATGAGGCCCTGGGAGAGGGTGGGGCAAGGGCTCAGCCTGGATTCCAGAAAAGCTCTGGT